AAATGAGATGTTTATCCTGTATTTGATTGTGTTTATCTGCAGTTAGTTACACGAATTCAGATATGTGATGAAATCGGATAGGGATGAAATCGTTTAGGGATGAACGGGTTTAAGAGTTTTAGTCAAATGCTTTATAATATAGTATAGATATAAATATATAGACTTGGGATCATGTGAGATCAAGAGTTTTTCGTGAAATCCGTAAGATCAATTCTCAATCATTGAATTAGATCTACAATCTGAACATCCATGAGCTTATATATATATATATATATATATAAGGGTTGGGTTTACGTGAGACCAAAGGTTTTTCATGAGACACGTAAGACCAATTTATGTTCATTGGTCAACTTTATAAGTTAATAATCTAATGGTCTAAAGTTGTACGGTGACAATTTTGTGATTATTAAGAAGTCTCGTTGCAATTTTGTGATTATAAATGTTCATATTGTAGATCTAATCCAAGAGTTGAGAATTGGTCTTACGGGTCTCACGAAAAACCCTTAGTCTCACATGATCCCAAGTATATATAGGGTTGGGATCACGTGAGACCAGTCTATTTTCGTGAGACCACTTTTTAACACTTAAAACTTCACAACAAAATATTGTGAAGCTAAAAAAAAAAGTTGAACTTTCACAGCAAAAACACTGTAAATGTTACCTTCACAGTGTTTTACTGTGAAGTTTCAAGTATAAAAAGGTGGTCTAACTTTTTCCCCTCTCTCTGTCTATGTATGTGCGAGCACGTGTGCACATACTTGTGTATGTCTTTATTGACCCACAACTAATTGGACCAGGCACAAAAATATGGTCCTTGTGCATCTATGCCAGTGGTTGTGGATCCACAACTACTTGTAATCATGAAACAAGTATAAAGATCACAATCGATCTTAAAAGCTGTTTATCAAATTCTTATCTGATAAACATTACTGATATCATTTACCTTATTGATTAAAAATAATAATGACTAATAATATTATCTGATAAGAGTCGTAACACGAAGCAAGAGTCTTGTATGTTTAATAAACGTGATGAAAGTCAATGGTAAACATGAATAGGATGCTTTTTGACCGAGGAGAAGCGTGACTAAGGAAGACACCCCTCTTTCAAGCCACCACTATTCAGTATTCATAAACTTGTTTTTTTTTAATATTTATTTTTTGAAAAATAATATTATTAAATTATCTTTTACTAGGAGGATGTGTAATGGAGTCAAAAAAACCAATCCATAGTAAAATGTAAATCACAATTATTTATTTAAGGACAAAATCCATAATTCTTAAAAAGCACATGGACAAACATGTAATCCACTTTAATATAATATAATATAAATACAAAAAATTTAATCATAAAAATAGTGTTTGATTAGTTTAAGCTTGGGCTCTAAAGATTAAAAGTGTCTGAAGATTCTAGGTTTAAATCCAAATAAGAATAAAAATGCCCTTATGACCACGAAGATTCAAATACGGTAACTCCATGCTCCCCGTAAAGCATGTGGTTGTTATGGGATTAGTCGGCTCGAATAGTGGATTGAATTTTAAAGTTAATGAAGAAGAAAGTAACTATATTTTATAATAATTACGAATTTTATTATTAAAAAATGTTTTTTTTTTATTTAGAAAGTAACATTATTATTTAAAACATACTTGACTTACATTATATAAAATAATGTGGTGACATTTAAAATTGGACACGTTGTCGCATACTAGCCGAGAATATTTCACTTGTCTTGTGATTTTATTGGTCCACGTAGTCTTCAGATATATTTAATAGAGAAATTGCTTAATTACTGAAATCGCCTTATTGTGAGGGATTATTACCCCACGAAAGCACAAACTAGGGGAACCTGACATAAATAACCCTTAAGAATATGAAAGTTACATTTTTAACCTTAAAATTTATAAACTGAACAAAATAACCATCGTTTTAAGTTAAAATATAAATCTCTGTCATCTGATGCAATTGTCGAGTTATTTGATACCGATGATACGAGATAT